AGTGAATAGCAAAGGGTCCTTTGAAAATTTGTAGGTGGCGCTATTGAGCCATTTCTTATGGGATTTTTGCGATGACCTTAAAATACAAAATTTGAAACTCCCTTTACGCCTCCGCCAAGTTTGGTGAGTTTTTGAATATGATAAAGCCCCCAAAAAGGCCCCTCTTTAGGGGGGCAGAATAATAATAAGAAACAGTAGGAAAACAATAGGCCTTCGCAGCGCTTAGCTGCTCGGGCCTAATAAACAATAGGAAAACAATAGGCCTTCGCAGCGCTTAGCTGCTCGGGCCTAATAATAATAATAAACAATAGGAAAACAATAGGCCTTCGCAGCGCTTAGCTGCTCGGGCCTAATTAAAGCATTTTGTGTAATAGTAAAAAATTAAACAGAATAATTGACAAAAAAAATCCTTGAACACATTTAGCAAAACTTTCTGCTTTAAATGCAATAACATTAATGCATTTTGCACTGATTGTTATTAAATACAAAAGTAGCTCTTTCTTTAGAAATGGTAATAAATTGTTTTCATCCTAATCATTATACTTCTAATATACTTCTAATAAAGCATAATTTAAAACTTTTGCCAATAAATCTCAAACTTTCTCTTCTTAAGTTGCATTTTGAGACTGAGGGAAACAGTCTTCAGTCAGAAGCTTCTTCAAATTCACTGTAATACAAATCATCCATCCATCCATCCATCCATCCATCCATCCATCCATCCATCCATCCATCCATCCATCCATCCATCCATCCACCATCCATCCATCCATCCATCCATCCATCCATCCATCCATCCATCCATCCATCCATCCATCCATCCATCCATCCATCCATCTCTCCAGCTGCGTTCTGGGCGAGAGGCGGGGTCTCCCTGCACAGGTCGGCCCTTTGGGATCAGTAAAGTATTTTTGATTGATTATTACACAATGAGGTTTGATCTGATATAGTCCATATTATGTAAAAATAATATAACATTGTGAAATGCGGTGGTGGCGGCATCATTCTGGGAAACCAGTGAGTCGTTGGAATGATGGAGCTAAAAGCAGGTCAGTCCTGAAATTAAAGCTGACTTCAGATATTCAGCCTGAAGAACAGTTTTGTTTTGTAAATCTCGACGCTCTGAAAACTTGCGGCTGCAGCTTTAGGGTAAAATAAAAACTATTAACTCAGGAAAGGCAGAATAAACTTGTTTTTAAATATTTTGTGCTGCATTGTGTTGGCATAGCCACAAAATCCTACCAGCATACACTGAGGTTTTGTGATTGGAGGGGAATAAAATGTTAGTTTTTTGAAATCCAGAAAGTCTCTTTAGCGGTTTCCTTCATGCTCAAAGTGTCATCAGGTTCATATTTCTGCCAAAAACTCTGAAGGCTGATCGTCTGCAAGCAGAACATCTTCTCTGTGGGTTTACATGCCTGAACTTCCAGTCGGGGTAAACAAGTCGGCGTGTGCATGAACAGAGCAGATTCCTCCTCGTAAATGACTTGTGAACATTTTTCTGCAGCTGCATGCAAATATTTGGACACTTTGGGAAAGACATGTTGTTGATTTTGGAAGCGAAGACGAGCGACTATAACCCAGGAATCAGAAAATAAGGGCAGGCTTTTGTCAGATGGCAGGGAGTTTGTGCTAATTATCTTTGCTCCTCATTAAAAGTACATGAAACAGTTATTTAATATGTCAAAGTTAGCAAAGTAAGTATTTATATTGTGCAGTCAGCTGAGTGGTTTTCCTCTCGTCTGCAATGGAGGATTAATTTGCCCTGCATACCTCAGGATTTTTCCGTAATGATCATCGGAGAGGACATTAGTGTGCTCGTTTTTCCTGACTGCGAGTGTTTTTATTTCATAATGTTGCCATTAATCACTGAAAGAGAAGATATTTTCAGAGTTTCTGGACATTTTCATGTTGTTTTTGTTCAGTTTTCTCTCTAAACATGCTTGAAGATTTGACAAAACGTTCTGCTCCAGAGTTGACCTGAGTGGTAGGGTCACCACTAAAGGGACGGTTTGTATTTATTGAAGGTATTATCAGTAACAGCTCAGATAGACGTCATATTGCAGCCAGTTTGTAGAAAGATAAAAATAAAAACAGGTCTTAAATAAGTTAACTATCGTTGAGTTTCTGTGTGAACGTTATTACTCTAAGATTACGCTTAAACCAACAGATATAGTCCCTGGCAGATTTTAAATTCAATGTAAATTGACTTTAATCTGATTAGGGTTATGGTAAGGAATCTCTCCAGACTTGAAAACGAGAAGCTCATCGTAAAAAATGGTCAAAAATACCAGTGGAAACATATAAAAGGCTGTTTGGTGGTTTATTATTGGTTCCATTTGTTGTTAAAATATTAAATTAGAAGTTTATTTACTTAGTTATTTATTGATAACCTTTGAATGTTGTCTTCTTAATATTTCTGAAAATACTTCTTGCGTTTTAAACTATAAACTGAATAAAAATAATTTAAAATTTAAATCTTCCAGAAGTTTGAATATTAACTCTTTCAGTGCTGTGACATTATTCTGCGACTGGGAAGGGAAATATGGTCAGTAATAACCTTTTAAAAATATATAAATTGTCCCTTTAAGTTTGTTTCTGACTCCGATCTGCAGAGCAGCTGATCCTGCAGTTTTATTTTGTATTTCTGCCCAGAAAGTATTTTATATCTGAAAGATTTTCTGTTTTTTTCCTATTTTAACTTCATATGTCTTTTGCTCCAACCATAAATGACCAAAGTGAATATTGACATTTAAATCTAAGCGCTCCCTGATGTTTTCCTATGTATTATAAATACATTATTTCCAAGATGAGATGTTAGAAGACATGTTGTAAAAAGTGGTTCAACATGCAAAAAAGTAAAAGTTTGAGGCTTATAAACGTCTGAATTTATTTTTCTGTTAAGTTTATTTGTGTGCCGTGTTTATGCAGAGCTAATTTCATCTCTCTCCAGATTCCTGCACACACTGCTTCCTGTGAAGCATGACCCAATGAGCGCAGACTCCCTGCTGGGCCTGTTTTAATGTGAATGGCGGCGCCGCCGGTTCCCAGATTCTCGGTCGGGTCCAGACGTGTGCGGATGGATCTGTTCTCTCTTAAGATCTCAAATTACATTTAAATGGGAGTTTAAATGTAATTTGGCAGGTTGTGGTACTCCCACAACCTGCCAAGAGTCAGAGATTTATGTGAAAAGTGGTTTTAAATTAAAATATTTCAGCATCTTTTAGGCTTATAATGCTATAATTATTCATTTTATGTATGAAAGCTGCAATATTCCCTTTGAAAGGTTGGCAATTATGTTTTTATAATGACTTCATGCTGAGTCACAAGTGCAGTCATGTATAAAATGTAAAACGCTCCATTAAATATTCTGTTCTCTAAGAAGAAAATGTCACTAATTACCCTTTAATCCAGTTTTTCATCCCTGGAAAATAAATTTATTTATTGTCTCCTATGCAAAATAAATCAGGTTTTGCTAAATGTCTAAAACAGAATAAAACATTTCAAGATGAGGAAAAATTAAAGACACCCTACACCTCCTTTCAGCTTAAATTCACCCCACAGAACTGTAATGGGATCAAAATCTGGGCTTTGACTAGGCCCATGACCTTCCATAACAACCAAGTCTTGATGGATTTACTGGTTTGTTCTGGTTTTTCTTCTCGGATTTCATCAAGTGTCATCTGAAACTTGATTTAAATCATGGTCAAGTGCTGCTGCAACAAGCCACCCCAAACCATGACACTTCCACCACCGTGCCTTGCAGCTGGTGTGAGTTCCTGTCTGATTGTATTTGATTCTTATGGGCATTTTTAAATACATTACCAGACAAAAAAAGTTGATACTGTCTGATTTCTGATGATTTTAGACAAATTAACCAAACAGTCATGGTTTATGTGAAATATCTACATATATAAATAAGTTAGAAAACACACAGGCTTTCAAACGGTGTCCTAATTTTTCACATGAAGTCAAATCGAGGGAGAGAAACTAAAACAATTTTAGCAAAGTGTAATTTTTTACTTTTGCCATAATTAGATAAAATAAATCGTGACAGAAGTTGAAAGTTCAGATATTTTCAACAGGACATTTCCTCTGATGCTTCAGCAGAAAGCCTGAAAAACAAAGAACAGATCTCTTGACTCAATGTTCAGATCCTATTGATGCAGGAATCATGTAAAACGACTCCAGTTGGAAACAGAGTGAAAAGTGAACCACTGGGGGAGATTTAATTTAATGTTCGTCCACAGTGCTGTGCATCAGCAGCATCGTATTGATTTAATTTTAAAAAATTAAAGGCCAGTAAAATATTCAGTTAAGTAGTAAAACATTTAATTTTCCCAGCAGGAGCAAAACGATTTGGATGGAGCAAATATTTACGATCATTTTCAACTTTCTTTATTTCTCTACGGCTAATGAGCGCAGCAACATGCAACTGCAACTGCACTGAAATAAAAAATGAATCTAACAGTTGGTTCAAAGTGAAGACATGATGCAGTTTGATTCATAATCAAATCCTCACATAGAATCAAGATTCTGTTGTTTCTGAGGTTTCAGAAAGTTTTAAAGTTACAAACTATTCCTCTGAATTAGCATCTTCATGTCCAGATTAGATAACAGAGGAAATCCTGAGGCAAAGAGAATTTTCTCCAGTCTAGCATAAAAGTAACACAGCACTGCCCCTCCCCCACTTGTTTCTGCACACTACTGGCCAGCTGTCTGAAAGACAGAATCAATGTTTGTCTCATGTTAACATAAAATAAAAATGAGGCATTTTGGAAATATTTACTGATGCACAGAAAACCACCATGTGGAAACTAAAGGAGCATCAAACATCAGGAAGGAGAGAGGAGAAAAGGAGTCAAGGAAAGGTTGAAGGAGATGAGAGAGGAGAAAAGGAGTCAAGGAAAGGAAGGTCACACTAATGAAGGGTGAGTCTGGGTCAGAGTGTGATCGTTCTCTTCCCTCCTACAACAGGAAGTGAACTCATGGTCAGGACTCACTCTGGAGTGGCAGAGGAAGCCGGCGTACAGCAGCAGCGCTGCAGGCAGAAGCACTACAGAGAAGACCAGCGCCAGCAGCAAAGCGCCGGCCGACACCACGCACAGGTTCCAGAGGACCAGAACCGCCCCGCAGGCCGCCGAGCCGCACGCTCCCCTGCGGCCGCCCCACGCGCTGCCGTCGCTGTGCGCCGCCGGGGGGGGCAGCATCTTCACTGCGTCCCCCACCCAGAACTCCTCCTCCTTCTCCTCGTCCGCTGAGACGCCATCATCCAGGTCCACATCCACACCACACATCCTGGGAGGCGGAACCGACAATTTACTGGGCATGTTGTTCACCATGGAGACCAGAACAAAGGTCGGCTATGAACAATTGTTCACTTTAAAACAATCAAACCAAATGTTTGGATCAGGGGAGTCCAAACTGTGGCGTGGGGGCCATTTGTGGCCCCTGAACCGAAGTCAAGATTTTGGCACAGAAAACAGGCGATGACACCCAAAAATTTAAAATGGTCTGTTTTTCTTTTAAAAAGGCGACAGTCTGAAGCTCTGTTCATGTTTTGAATCTTAAACGATATTCAGATTTCATATAAATTATATTTATTGTTAAACACTAAAATGTTTTTCAAAGTTTGCATTTTGATCTAATTAATTTTGTCGCCCTTCAATAATTTAAGTTTGTCAGTTTTGACCCCAAGTGCAAAATGTTTGGACACCACTGACTTAGATTAAAGTGCATCCAGGTGCTGGAATGGCCTAGTCAAAGTCCAGAGCTGAAAAATGTCTCTTTACAACTGTTATCCAGTTTGTTCATTTGCAAAATTTGTTTATTTGTTTATTTTGCAAAATAAACACTTCATTCTCCAGGTGTGGAAAGGTATTGACATGTTGCAATAAATCAATTAATGCAGGATAAATTGAAACAAGCCCAGTATTTTCCATTTTTCTCTTTCTCTCTTGCTAAAACCAGGATGGTAAAAGTCTTCAGTCCTATTTTAGAAGAACATAATTAATTTAATTTGTTGTTTTTGTTTTGTTAATTTAGGATATTTAAGATGTCTCCCAGTTCCTGTGTTAAATGATCATTATCATGTAAAGTGTATTGATCTCTGACAGTGTGTTCTTGCATTATGATACCATTACCATTGTTTTACTTCAGAATGGTCTCAAAATAATATTCCTGCTAAATGTGTTATTGTGACAGGCTGAATACAAGTCAAATTTATGCCAATGTAAACTGTATTACATCCCAAAAATAAAAAAGAAGAAAAACTCTATAGCTGCTGTTTTTCAACATAATTAGTTTTCTAAATATAAAACATTTCTCCAGTTGATTATTTTAGTAATTCATTCACCTCCAGATTTCATATTTAATCAACATATTTCTCTAGTTCTAATCCACCCTAAGGCAGTGTGACTTTATGCAACATGTCGATAACATAAAGTCACACATGTTTTTATTGTTTTACATCAGTTTTCTTTCCCAGCTGGCTCGTTATAAAGACACATGAGGGTTACATGAGGCTCACCTCGGCCAGTGAATCCGCTGCTCCCGTCTCTCCTCCGCTGATGGTCGCGCAGCTTTTATCTTTTATTCCTGTTTGAAATAAACTCCTGTTTCTGCCTCGGCTTTGAACAAACCGTGACTTGAACCTGCAGAGCTGAGATGCTGCTGCTGCTGCTCGCTGCCGCTGCGCGTCCCCGGGAGCGACGCTCCGGAGCGCGCACACGTGCGTGCACGCGCGTGTGTTCAAAAGCTGCACGTGCCTTTGTGCCACCTGGTTGCGGTTTAGTCGCTATGTTCATTAATTTACCTGGGATTTTTTTTCAGTCTCTTTGGAAAATCATCGGGAAACTCGTCAATGTTTAGAGCAGTGGTGTTCAAACTGAGGCTCTGGTGCCTTTTGCAGCACTTGGAAAGATTTTATGTGGCCCATGACCTAAATGGTACAAGTTAAAAAAAAACTTTAGGATCAGATTTAGCAAGTTAAATGGGTAGTAGTGCTTATTTTGCAGACTTATGGAGTCATTTTTATAGCTTCAGTAGTCATAAAAAACACTGTGTATGTCAAAAATAACTTTTACTTCACATCTCCACGTCTTTGAAATTGGTCTCTGTCTCTTTAAGAAGCTCCTGCTCTTAAAGAGACAGAGACATGAGAGAATTGCATTATGACACGTGTGTCAAACTCAAGGCTTGGGGGCCAAATCTGGCTCTCCATTGTTTTTGTTTTTTTTGGCCCTCGCATTAATAGAAGCCTCAAAATAAGAATTTTGTGCTTAAAATTACTTTAAATCAAGCAAATCAAAGCAATTTTTATTCATATAATACCAAATTACATCAGTATGTTCAATATTATTTGATTTTAAAAAGTAAGCATTTACAGCTATTTATGTTTTTGCAGATTTTTGATTAGTTTTATCAATACTTGCTGGAACAACCAGATCTTTGAGAACATTTAAGAAAAATTAGTTTGACACACCAGCATAAAAATATGATTAAGCTAAAAAAAAAAAAAAAACTGTATTTTACTTATGCACATTTTTTAAGGCTTTCAAGTAAAATGATGGAATCTGGTCAAATTATGATTTATATCAAGTTAACTTTCCTAAACATAAAAACTACTCTAAACAAGCAGCTATAACAGCAAACTGAGTTCAGACTGCAGGGTTATAATTGCAGAAATTTGTGTGTTTTGCATATTCCAATTAATAAAATGAATGAATTTAAAAGTCGGGTAATCTTTTTAGAAACAGTGAATTCAGCTGAATGTCTATAAACCATACAAAATCTAACAAAAAGCTGCAACATGTTGAGAAATGTCCTTCTTATTTCCTCCCTCGGCACGCCGGGCCTCATGGTCCTGAAAACATTGTCAACATGTGCTGGTGTGAGATAACAGCATGATTGATTTGCTTTCCAGTGCAGTCAGACAGCCAACCTCTTGCTGATCAAATTTAATTACACAGAAGAAGAGACAGACATGAGAGGACGCGGGAGCAGAGTTAGGAAAAGAGAGAGACAGGAACAGATCGTAAGATAAGGAACAAGAGAAGATGACTGAAGATGAGTTAGTAAAACTGCAGACATTCTCTCCAGAGACACCTGCTGGACCATTTGGGAACTTTTTAAAGAAAATTATTTGTTTTTTGAGTTTATTCATTCATAATCTCTCGTCTTCTCCTCACTGTGGTGAATTTTGAATGATATTCAACTTGAGAAACCTGAACATGTTGCCCTGGCTGCTCGGAAACCTTGTGTTTATCTGCCTTTGACTCTGTCACTCTGCCTTCAGACATGCATTAGGCCACTCACCATCCATTAGCTTCACAACATCCCGTTACCGTGGTAATTCATCTTACGCCAGTGACAAGGAGCACACAAAGTGCAGAGCGCTTTAAAGGAAACCAGCCATCAAACTTGAAACACACGTTAAAAAGTCTTTTTTTGGCTTACAGTGTTGTATATAAAATGTGGACATTCAGAAATGGTTCATGATGGAGAAAAATAATTGCACAAACATAAATAATATTGACAAATACCATACCGAATACACTGTCTAATTTATAGGAGCAACAAACCTCTGAAAACACTCCCCATCTCTACTTAAAGAGGCAGAAATAAGCTAATTCAGTTTGTCTTAGCTTTACCTCATATAGCATTCCCTCCGCTCCTTCAGACTAGCCAGAAGCAATTAGCAAACACCTGGTGGAAGTGCACATCTGCTGAGTTAATCATATGATGTACTTCTCAGACGTTTGTCCACTCAATGGAGAAACAGTGCTGTGTCAGACAACATGGGAGCTCCTTAAAGAGACAGAGACAAATTTCAAAGGATTACATTAGGAAGTTTTCTTTGATGTCATATTTGACAGATACGTTTTTACATTTATATGTTCTTCTTCTTTAATGAAAGCAACTCCACAGCATGATACTGCCACCACCATATCTTAAAGAAAAGTTTAAATGATTAGGCTGATGCCCTGTGTTAGTTTTCTGCAACACTCACCATTTGATAGTCCGAATTCTTTAAGCTTGAACCAAACTGTGAGTGGGATTTTGTGAGGAACCAAGGAGCAAGTGGTCTCCAAAAATGGGGGAAAAAAAATCAATTTAATAAAGTAAAAAAAACCTCCAATGGAAAATGAATTAAATGATATCTAACATGGCTTGGACACAACTCCACTTTGGTTAACTGAACTCAAACAAAAATTGACCTGCAGACAAAGAGCGGAGTTTAAATAGAGGTGCAGTAACCTAAACCGGCCACACGAGAGAGACACAACATAACAAAGCAACAAAAAATTACAAAATTAGCAAATGCAACATATAAGACCACAGAGCAAGAACTGTATTTCAGTTGGCACAATAATAAGCGAATATTAACATAAGAAAATAAATAACTCAGGTCATCTTTAAAGTTTTCCCCTTTGTCTTTAGTAAACTTATGTTCCTGACTTAGAATGGCTTCATAAAGGGTAATTTGGGAAATTAAATTTCTAATGCAAAGTTGACACTTTTAATGGACTTTTAATGCAACTTTGCATTAAGTGTCATTATTTACTGAATGACACTTCATGATAACAGTCACAAACATTCTTAAAGAATCCATGGCATCCATGACGGTGTCATCTCAGCCTTATGCTCACATCCCCGTGCCGTATTTCGAGTTGGACCGTCACAAAGACCTCCAGTAAAAAGCTGCAGTTTGTTTTTCATAACAAGACAAAAGATGAACAATTTCGAACCCTATTCACTGTGTTATCATCGTCAAAAGTCGCTCAGCTCGTTCTTCCTTTACACAAAACACAACACACAGCTGGCATGCAGGGACAAAAATTTTAAACAAGCTCTTTAAATTCAGTTGCCTAAATGAAAATGGATAAACAAGTAAACACTGGGCAAAGCTTTCATCTCGGCCCCAAAACATGAGATTCACCTTCGAGGTAGACAGATCGGATTCAAACAAACGACGCCGTAAACAGCTTGCTGCTTTCCCATCATGCAGCTCTTCTGCATCTACAAAATGTTTGCCTGTGGCTGGAGTTTTGTTGATCAAAGGGACTAAGACTTTGTGCCAAACAGAAACACAGCTCTGGTTTTGAAGAGGAGTCGTGGGTAAACCTAATACAGCCTGGAAGTGTTTGTGCTCATTCATATTTAGCCTTAACATATTCATTTACCTTTGATAACATGTTTTACCGACTAAATGTAACATTAATGTTTTGAAGTGCCACATCCAGAGTCCAGACTAGAAGTTGAAGGAGCTAAAGATTAGGGTGATGGCAAGGAGGCCTTGCAACCGATAACATTTGGGGACTCATAAAATAAAACGTTATTCAAATGGAACCAAGCAAAAGAATACTCTGTATTCTAAAAAGTAAGAATACAGACTAGAAGGAAGTACAGAAGGAATAAAGTGTAAAAATATAAAAGAGAATCTTCAAATGTTTTATTTTCTTTTTCATTACATGTACAAATGTGTAAAACCCAGAAATCAAACTTGCAGAGACAAACTCTGATTAATTTATATGAAGAGAGGACAGTTACCAGACAGAGCATTTATTACATTCAAAGCAGAATAAAAGCCCTACAGTATATCAACAGGCTATAGTCATCTGGCCTCTGCGTGTATTACTGAAAACACACAAGTGCGTAGTGTTTATGTGAGCTCATTCTGATAACGCGGCTCTGTGGGTTTATGCCTTCAAAGAAAGATTCAAAGTGCTGTAAGGATACTAGAGAGGAAGCAGCGAGGAGGAGGAGGGGAGTCAGTACAGCTGTGGCTCTAGCCTCCGTCTGACGCGTGGGGCAGCGTGGAATGGTGGTGCGCGAGAGGGTGGGCCTGCTTTTCAGCCAGGCTGTCTGCGTGGGGCAGAGAGTGGGCCGGGTCTCCGATCAGGGGGTCGGATAGAGAAGGAGCTGAATCCAGGGTGTTGTCTGCAGGATAGAGCTGCATCACCGCCCCCTCCTGGACGCTCTCCTTACTGCAGGACTGGCAGCTGCAGTGCAGGATCCGCTCCACCAACTTGTCCACGCGTGGAGAATCCTCGCTCCCGGGGCACTCCAGAGTCACCTGCACGCAAACGCATCAGCGCAAATGAACACACCCGTGGAAGTTCGGAGTTTATTTCTATGTTGTTTAACAGTTGTTGCCATTTTTTTAATAACTCACTGTTACTTAAAATGAGCAATTAGGCTACTTCAGTAATGATCAATCAAATAAAACAATAGGCACATTCTGCTGATTTATCATAAGAGCCTTTGCTGTAAAATATAAAATACATTAAAATATGCAAATACACAATTAAATCCCCCTTTTAAATAAGAAAATAAACATGTATTTCCTAAAATGCAATTGTATGGCATTCCTTTATGAATGCTTGATCATTTGTAGCTAAAGGTGCATCTCTGAAAAAAATGAATGTGCAAAGCTCAGCCCGTTCTGCTTGACTTAACATAACTTAACATTAACAGGACTGATCTGTTTGGTTTTTCAACTAACTGATTAATAAATGGACAGCAAAAGTTGCTTAGCATCAGATTTTTTTGTTTGTGTTTTTTTTTACAGAACTTGAACTGGGCGAAGCTAAAACTGCATTTTGAGGAGTTTTGGTTAGAACATATTTACAAACAAAGGATTTTATATTTTAAATGCAAATATATATATATATATATATATATATATATATATATATATATATATATTTGTACAACTTTGGCTTAATTGCAGATGTGAATATATTGTCTTATGTTTATTTGTCTGAATCTGTGTACTGTAGGTAACGATTAATCAGCTAATAGACAATTATTATAATAATCGATTCAATGCAATTAATCTGATTAATTAATTTCATTCATATTTGAAAGAAGAGAGGTGGCAGACAAGGATGGAAGGAAAGACCAGTGAGGGAATAAGCAAGAAAACAAGGACATGAGGAACAAAGAAGGGAAGAAATCATGGAATGAACGACTAAAGGGGGACAATCTTTGTATGATACTGTAGGCCTTAAATCTGGAAATTATTTTTTTCATATGTTCCTTTTTTCAGTCTTGGAAAACAAAGAAATCCAATTCAGTTCTTTGTAACAACACAGAAGCACTAAAAGCAGTATTTCCACAGCTTAAGGTTACCATGCTATGAGCATTTCATCCTGACCCAGGCCTAAATGACAGTCAGTGAAACAGAGATAAAGTTGGTCAACTTTTAACATGAAGCTATGATGGGCATATGGACCTGCTGAGGAGGGTTGTGTTACACAAACTCAGCCGGCTCTCCAGACCTCACACAGCTCGTTCTCTGTTTCCCTTGTCCCCTGAAAATGATCACTCAGCCATTTCAATGAGAGCCGGAGCATCAGGGAGCAGCGTCTTCTTTCATGAGAACCGACTCTGCTCTGCTTCAGACTCAATTAGATTAAAAGTCCTGAAACAACAATCGTTTCCACAGACAAGGGTGCCCATTTCCACACAGACAGGAAGAAAGTGATTGAAAATACTTTTTTCTTCTTCTTCTTCTTGTCTGTGTTCACCTCCAGGAGGGTTAATACCTCACCTGCCATGTCTACCTGGCAGCCCTCCAAACTACACCTCCCACAAAGCCTTTGTTTCCTTCTGGATTCAAATATCGAACGTTGAAACGTGACGTCACACGCGCTAGATCCCGCCCCCGGCTAACCCGACGATAACTAGCTGGTTTTAGCTGTCAAGTCGTCAGCATAACGCTAAATCTTAAATATAAGCGTAACATATAACAGGAAAAGAGATGTAATATTCCTAACCTTAGTCCCTTAGCGACTGAAGGTAAAATTAAGCTCCTTTTAATCGTTTATTTCTGTTTTGCTATTAACTTTTTTTGTTTGTGGCGGTTAGCTGTCTCCTTTCGTTACCATAGCTAAGCTCACTCGAAAGTTACTAAAATAAGAGCATACAAGTGCAAAGGCGTTTTTACTCAGTTTACCTTTAGACTACTAACTTTCAACGCTAAGATAACTAGAAAATAAAGTCAAATATATCACAGGTCAGTGAAAAGTTTTAATTAAAAAAAAAATAGGGAGGGAAAGTAGGTCAATTATTCTAGCTTGACTAGACAAGCTTACACGTATAGATGTGCTGTGCGGTGTGTTTTGGTTCAGTTGAAAAAATAATAATAATGGAGTGACCCACTCACCTACCTTCTGACAGATCATCAGCAGAGCAGGTGTTTAAATCACTGTGTCCAGGAAACCACTTATTAATAATTGTGAAATAAACATCAACAAGCCTGAAAACATAAAGCTGTAAAGGACTGAATGTTCTGTTCTCTGTGTAGGAAATGTTTCTCTTTTTTTGTATTGAATCCCGATACACATATTAAAGGTAATTTCTGCTGTGTAAGCTGGAGGAGCTGTTGTCAGTCTGTTGCTGTTGCCGACACAGAGAGTGAGAATAAAGAAGAATAAAAGTTGTTTTGAGTTGCCTTGGCAGAACATAAAATCCTACACTCTGCTTCGTCTACTGAGGCTGTTTTCATGATTTTTCTCTTGCGGTTGTTTAAAGAAACACTCCTCATCCCTCATATGGAGGCCAGCGATGGTGAGCATTTGCACTGCAAAAACACAAAACGTCACCAAGTATTTTTGGTCTAGTTTCTTGTGCAAATATTTTAGCACGCGTGAAATGAGGCAAACTTACAAATAACTTTTTAGCAGGAAATTAGAGCTTGTTTTAAGTCAGTAATTCCTTAATATTAATGAAAAGTACCATTTCCCCTCACAAAATGGAGATTATTTCACTTATGGAAAAAAAAAACTTATTATAAGTGAAATAATCTTCCAGTGGAACTTGTAAAAAAAAATTATAGGCCAAAAACTTTACTAGGCCAATATACTTGGTAAGATTTCGTGTTTTTGTAGTCCGCTACGTGATCTAATGCGCAATAACTCTTACCACTTCCCACTGTGTCTGGGCAGGCGTGCAGGAGTCACAGTGCGCCAGGGACTCGGTGGACTGTGGGAACGTGTTTGGGACGCTGTAGCTGAAGCACTGGCCCAGACAGGCTCTGTACAACAAAGAGGAGAGAGTGCATGAACGTGCCTGCCCCACAGACATGATGTGCTGGAGTCGATAGAAGCGCTCGCGCCTGTGTAAGCAAGAGCTGCAGGGGGAAAAAAAACAGCGCCTGAAATCTGAACTGATTTACAAAGCCTGAGGATTCTCAGAGGCCTCAGGGAAAAACACACACTCACAAAATGGAGACTTGTTTTTCACAAATGGTGGTCATTCGAGAGGTTTCGGAAGGTAAAATCGACATCAGGTTTCAGATGAATGAAGTGAGTATTTCCTATAAATGAAGGATGTAAGTTTTGCTTTTGAACTTTTAACACATTGATTTTTATCCTCAAAATATCCAACTTATAAAATAATTTATTCAACAAGAGACATTGAAAAGTAGGGCACATCGGAAACAGAAACTACTCTAATTTGGGCTATGTGTAAGTTAAATAAGTCAACCGAAGAAATCCAAAACTGATTTTTGAACATTTATTGTTCAATTGTCCATTAAACTTTAACTTTAGCTAAACTTTGTTAAAAGAAAATGTTCCACAGATATCTGTAATAGAGTTTTACTAAGCTAATATCTGTTATCTTGCTGTTTTGCAGTCTGTGTGACTTCATTGGAGAAAGCTGGGTATCATAAATAGAGTCTGCACTCAAATTTAGAGAAAAGTATAGAATGAAAGGCTCTTAATGTAAATTTCTTAATGCAATAAAGTTACACAATCCTTATTTTTAAGGCTATTAAGTTTTTTTTATACCATTATGTAAAAATCTAGAAATTTTATCAATGAAAATATAAATAAAATAAATAATAAAAAATATGTTTCAGAAAACTTGACATTATTTTATGTAAAATAAGAAAAAAAATAAGATGAAAATTATAATAATATGAAACTGAATTAAAGATAACCTCAAGAAATGAATATATACATCAAAATCTAAAGTAAAATAAATAAGAAATTTAGAATAAAATAAAATGATATTAAGAAAAATGTTATAAAAATTGGGAATAAAATTATATACATCAAGTTAAAGCAGAAACAAAAGGAACAATTTAAAACAAAACAAGCTGTTGTCGTCTTTCAGCCTGTTGGTTGGACAGACAGAGACGGCCTTCATCCTGACCTGTTTTGGATGGAGCGCGGCTGACATCCTGTGTGCCCGACGATCTGAGTGATGTTCTTGGCTTCGCACCAGGCGCTCTTGTCAGGGAACAGCGCCAGGCGGTTGATGTGTGCAGGCGCTGCCGCTGAATGCAACGCAAACAGCGCGCAGCAAATCTGAATCCTCTGCCACATGGCTGCACCTGTAAGGCAGGAAAACCACAGCATGTCACCGATAACCGCATCACTTCAGCCGGCCCGGTTACCGCAATGGTTTTACATGGATTTGCTTTTCTTGATGTCAACTGACAACTCCCGGGTGATTATCAGATAAATCCCCACTGCTCAGCTTTTATCTAGATACAATCGGCTCGGCTGCGTGACCTATTCAGCTTTTAAATACGTCAGTGAGATGAAGATCTCAGATGTAAAACAATGAAGCCGGGAGTCAAATATGTGCTCTTCCTGTCTGCAACAGCATGGCTGTCCACTGCTCGCTTTCACTCTCCTCCTTAAAAATGCCTCAGCCATTAACGTCATTTACGACCGACAAAATCCTTTTCTCCTGCTGCTTATAAAAAGTTCCTCGATGTCATCAACATCCAGTCCTTTGTCCTCACTTTAGCACCTCCATTTGGCATTTATATTTTCCTGCAGCTATAACGTTCCCAGATTAAAGAGCTGAAGTCTAGACATGGATTTCATTCACAAAGAGCAATTAGAAATATGTCAAGGTACAGATGAAGCACCCTGCTCAAGGTGAAGGTTTTATCAAGTGTAAAACACAATACTCTGTTAAATGTTTGCTACTTTGTGAAACTATAATCATTTAAATCAAACTACAACGTCTGTCCACAGTTCAAATATATGAACACATTGATGAAAGATTGGATTTTGTTACTTTGTAGTTATGTTACATTATGTAAACTATTTTCATTTTAAAATACCAACATTTCCATATAACTTTATACTTTAGTCTGCCTGCTTATGTAGTTTTTAAATATGAAATGATTAATGTTTTGATCACTTATTCAGTACTTGAGTAGTGCTTTTACCAAATACATCTTGAATGGATACTTTTTACTCTTAGTTTGTAAAAGTATTTAGATGTTCTTGCCTCATGATCGTATCATGATTTAGTAATGACCCTTCCTGCAGCAAAACAACCCCACAGCACGATGCTGCCTCCGCCGTACTTCACAGAGGGGTGTGCTTTCTCAACATTCACAGCAACTCAGGTTTTTGTCCAGATCTCCACAGAAACTGAAGTCTTTTTCCCTGAGTGCATCTGCAAACTGGAGTTTTTACGTTTCTTTCAAAGTCGTGACTTCTTCCTCTCTGAGCGGCTTTTCAGTCCATGTCAGAATGATGGTGGGGCAGCACTGCGTCCCGTGTTTGGGTGTCTGAACAGGAACAGTTGAGCCTTCAGGATGTTTAAATCACAGATCTCGGCTGTTTCTTTTTGTTTGGTTTGTCTTTTGTTTTCGGTGTGAGTTTCTTTCTGAAAATACCGCTTGCGTCATTGAGGTTTCCTCATATTGTTTCTTTCTTAGCATAACTGAACTGATTAAGAAATCTTTAATATTTTTATTTAATCCGATGTAATGTCAAACTGCTATTTGTTTATCGTGGATGAGTTTCAGTCCTTATTGTTTTATATTCTGTTTCCAATCAGCCAAACTTTGATCCAATTTTTTCTAATTTCATCGTAAAAATTGTTTCATTTTATTCTTAGACAGTTAATTTTAAAAAAAGTCAGTTTTGCTTTATGCCAACATAAAGCAAAACTTTCTATATTAGTCTTACAATCATGTATTAATCATATATATATAGAAAGTTTTTTTTTGTTAATTCACCCTAGTTTGACCGGCAAATTATTTAGTCTTGAGCTTGTGAGATGAATACAAATTAACTTATTTTTAATTGGATATTTAATCACTTTACTTCAAACAGTCTCTTGCAAAGACACAAGTTGCTCTAATGTTTAGATAATTGATTAAAATGCTACATGCTTTTTTTGTTTTGTGCCTGTTTCTTAAAGATGTGCTTTTTTAAACACATGCTGCACAGCAGGCTTGTATGGCTGGACACAGAACTGAAAATGAAGCTAGAGAAAATTAAACAAATAAATAAACTGCAAATGAAAACTTCAAACGACCTCAAAAACATCTGAAGAGCCGTTGAAGACATGAAGAAATCAGCCGGTAACTGAAAGCAGAAGATTTTTTTCATGTTTTACATTAAGATAAAATTTGTAGTGATCTGCAAGTGAACTGTTATAAAACAAAACATCCAACAGAGTCCTCACAGTTACCAGATCATTGCCTGAAATCTTCACTAATTCAGTCTTGAATTATTCCACACGTCACAGTGCAAAGATAATCAGTTAAATTTATGCTTAACATGTATCCTTATGGGTTCAAACTAACAAACATTTACCTCTTTCATATTTTGTCAAGCTACAGCCTCAAATGCAAATATATTTTATTTTCTTTTTAAAATCTTTATTGGACAGTAAGCAGGCAGGACAGAGAAGGGAACACATGCAGGAAATGAAGTGAAAATCAAACCCAGGACAACTGAAGACTGCAGCCTCTGCACACGGCGCACTGAGCCTCTCAGCGCCGTCAGTGTACTTTTGTAAAGCTTTTTCATGACATAAACAATATGAAGTAATGGATAATTGCACAGTGGATTCGAAAGAACACATCGTTTTTAAAATATGTTGCAAAAAAAAAATACAAAGAGGTTGTTGTGCATATGCAACAAACCTTTATTGCTCTCAAAACCCTAAATAAAACCCAGAGTTTTCAGAAGAGACTGGGATTCAGATTTATTTGTCAAAGTCAGCAAGCCCATGAAATGGTTTGGATGAGAAGGAGAAGTACTAACAGAATTCGGCAGAAGTAAAAATAAACATTTACACCTGGCAAGTAAGAGTAAAAAATAACGGTTAAGAATTAATAAATTATATTTTTAACCTACTTGTGCGTGATTCAATCTGAGTGTGATTTCAGGAGCTCTGTAAAAAACTATCTGAGGTTTGTTGTTAGAGAATAAGTAGCATCTGTAATAACAAGGAAGACAGCAGATGTGAAAGAACTGGTTGACATGCAAAATGTAGCAGAAATCACTGTCATAAAGCATAATGGTGGCACCATTATGCTGTGGGAATGATTTTTTTTTTCCAGCAGGGGCAGAGAAGCACTAAAGATGTTACAATCAAGGGAGAAAACCTGAGGCTCATCTTCCAGAACAGCAACCCGAAAATACAGCCAGAGCTACTAATACAGCGGCAGTATAGACAACACCATGCTCATGAGTTACAGTGGCCCAGTCAAAGTCCAGAACAAATTCTGATTGAGAATCTGTGGTAAAGTTAAAAATAGATGTTCACTGCAGGTCCTCGTCCACCTGAATGAGTTTATGCTGTTTATCATGTCAATTTGTGGCCTTTATTGTTTAACCTGAGAAATTTATTATAAGAATTTTGATTTGTTATTGTCACAGTATAAATTCCAATCAATGAGGTTTTAAACACCCCTAAACAGTATTGATTGTCAGTTGTACTATTTTCTCCACTGCTTGTTCACTGAGAGTATCAATGAACAAGTCAATGACTGAAAATATGATTAAAGGCTGTCACAGTGTTAAACTTAGTGACTGGTGTCTTAAAAACGTGACAAGGCCTTTATTTCTGTTTGTGTGGCTATGATTGCTTTGTACACTGAAAACAAAAACAAAACAAAGGAGGTCCAACTTTTAAAACATTCATTTAATTTGTTCCATGTCATGAAGTTACGCTTCTCAAACTTACTTTGTTTGTGCCTGCCTGACAACTTAATTGAATAAACTTAATTGTATTACTTAATTAACACATTTTTTAAGTTGGATGTTTGTTTTTTTCAGTGTACAGTCGCAGCCAGACAATTACCTAAAAAAGAAGTGATGAATAAAGTTTAACACAAACTATGGTGATGAAAGCTGAAGTCCATATCGCCCCTGTGAGGTGTAGCCTGTGGTCGTAATGTGAGAAAATGTGAATACTTCAGCAAGGCACCGACCATCTCTTCTCTTCTTCTAAAAAGAAAAATAAAACCAAAAAACTCTGACTTTGGTTGGTGTAGTTTATATATATTAGCCGGTGATTTTAAAAGCTCAAATTTATCCTGTTTGCCATTTTAATTATTAAAGAAATAAACAGAAAAAGTTTAACAAGACACTGGAAAAAGAAAACAAATTAACAAAAAATATTTTGTCACATCTGATAGAATAAAGTTTGTTAAAATTACTTGTTTATAGTGATAACTTAATAATAAGTTAATTATGTTTACTTGGAAAAATCTGACTTTGATTACTTGTAACCAATGAACTCATTTTTTTAAGTTGATCACATGTTTTATTCTTGTCAGTGTGCAGTCACGAGCAGCTCTGAACACAGCGATACTTTCATCGTTACTCTTATCGTGATAAAACCTGAAGTCCATATCGTCTCATGGTTGTAATGCGGAATAAACTTAAATGCTTTTGCAAAGCACCGACTTTCCCCCCTTTTTCTAAAAAAAGCAAACAAAAAACTTCATCTGTTAATTTGGTTGGTGTAGTTTGATCATCAGAACATATGGAAACTTTCCCAGTTTACTATTGTCGAGATAAATGAGCAAATAGTAACGTTAGAGGGCACTGGACGCCCCAGAGGTGTGGGGTTGGCCGGGGTACCTACCGGCCTCCTCCGGATGGACTCCGCGCAAAGTCCCGCTGGTCCTCAATGCGGCGGAAATGTGACGATGCGCGACAACCGCACCAAAAATATATAAATACACGTCGGCAATGATGATCCGAGCTCAGCCGGTCACACAGCAGTTACATCATCCGGGGAAGAAGCGGCACCGAGGGTCGCCGACCGAGCCGAGAGGAGGAAGGAGGATGAGAGAGAGAGAGAGAGAGAGAGAGAGAGAGAGAGAGGCTATCTCATATTCTCTCCCCCTCCAGTCGCTCTGCAATTCCTCTGGAAAACACTTTCCGAGTTGTTGTCTTTCGTTGTAAAACTCTCATGCGAGGGGTTGAGGCGCGGCTGAGCCTCAGACAGGCGTCCTGCTGCGCCGTTTCTAGAGGAGGAGGAGGAGGAGGAGGAGGAGGAGGAGGAGGAGGAGGAGGAGGAGGAGGAGGAGGAGGAAGAGCAGGGGGCCGAACTGCTGGAAAGGTTTCAAATGTTTCCCTAAAGTGGAGCCATCATATTTACTCCCCAAGTGTGCAAATGCAACGGGATTAAACACACAAGGGGTGTTTACAGACATCCGCACACATCTGGCTTTGCTTTGATGACATGTGCTTTCAGGTTTTGTAATTGAACATTAATAACAGCGTATAATAATGATGTATGGCTGGAAAGCAGATGTGGATCCTGTCCCGTTTCTCCAGCTCTGGGACATTAAAAGAAGGTTTGAGATGCTGAAATTGTTGAAAGAGCTGGTTACTAAACAGAAGCTCATGACAAATTGATTTATTTGAGGTCTGCAGTGAAACCGCAGAGAGACTCGTGAGCATGTGATCTGCTGAGAGGCATCATGTTCCCTGGTTTGGCTGACCTGAGGCTGAGCCCTCATTCAAATCTTATTGGAAAGGGAATGCAGGGAATAATAAGGTACCATTTGGAGGGTTTCAAATAAAAATTGGTGTCCTTCCTGGGTCAAAAACTCTGGTAAGTCAAAACTGAAATCCATAGAAATAAACACAGTAAACTAATTAAAGGTACAGTGCATGCAAAATATTATAATAATAATGACGCTGTCCTGTAAACAACTCAGTAAAACATAGAAATGGATAAAATAATAATGTGAATTATACATTCAGATTTAGATTGCAATGTTTTCAGCCTCATGTTGTGTTTTGAATGTTGGCCAATTTTTCTTGCCCTTTTTTTCCTTTTTAATAATGTCTGTAATTTCTGGGTAAATAAGAAAATAACCTCAGTAAAATTAGGTTTCATTTTACATTAAACCTACACAGCACAGTACATTTGTAATGTAAGTGCAATTCTTTACACAGTACATTACAAATATCTTTTAGTTTTTATAATACCAAAACATAAAATACAACCAAAAAATATTGAATCCATAAAAAGTAATGAAATCATTCCCACAGCATGATGCTGCCACCACCATGACTAATTATTGCCATTGAGCTGCTCTGTCTGAACATGGTTAATACGGTATTTACCTATAAAATAATGTTTACATGATCAGCTTTTGCAATGTCTTATTTATTTATGTATTCATTTATTTTTTTAAGTTACACATTATTTTAGCTGACATGTTTTTGAGTAAAAAAAAATATTTAAAGCTGACAGGAAATTTTCAAATATCACCTGATAGTTATGCATTATTGGAAGACTGAAAAATTAAAACCTAGCTACCAACTCTTTACAAAAAAGGGCAATAATTAAAAACAATCTAAAATAATTAATAATGCTAAGTCTGGTGCACAAGTAAAGCCTGGTGGACCGCCAGGTTTATAATACACTGACTTTAACAGCATCTTGTCTCTAATGCTTCCCAACACCAGACTCCTCTTGAGTCTGTTCTACTTAAAAGCATCAACACTGCTAAGTTAAGCAACACTCAGCTTTGTGGTCTCAGACTTCAGCAAACTGCATCTCTAGACTCCAGTAAGGCAACTTCTGCTCACATAGTTCAATGAAATTTCACATGTTAGTGAAATGTCACAGTAAAAGTGATCAATTTTCCTCAGGGGGGAATCAGCTGAGAAACTATTTGCAGCTGAGAGATCCTGATCTCTGCAGCTGGCCCCGGCTCCTGGGGTGACGAGTTCACTGCCTCTAATGTGTGCTCGAAATTTAATTTCTCTTTGGTCTTGCGGTGGGATCACATATACAGATGGGTTCGATGCAGAAGTCAGATTCCTTTGTCTTTTAAAGACATGTTTGTGAAATAAAGGAATTGTTCTTTGGGAACTGGAGCGTTACAAAAAGCCACAAAATTCAGTTAGAGCAAACTCTTGGAGAAAGTAACATCTGATAAACGTCATAACTCAGAAGTGAACTGAGAAAGTGGGATTTGATAGAGGATATTAAAGTTGACCTATCATGCTTCCTTGAACCAGTTAGGATAAGCTTATGAGACATACAAACATATTGATTACATTGTTTTGCACAAAATCATTCTTAGGTAAAATTTTAATCTGATCAGTTCTGCCTATTTTCAGTTTCTTTCAGAATGAGCTGTTTTACGGCCTCTTGTCACTTTAAATCCTGATATGTTTCTGTTGGCCATGTTCCCTCAACTCGACATTTACACTCATATGTGAAAACGGCTGCAAACAGATGCACCATGATACGACTGTACATCCTTGAAAAGCAGAAGTGGAGCCTCCAGCACAACAAACAAGTATGCAGCACATGGTTGCTGGATGGTAAATGAATAACAATTTTTGAAGCAATTGAGACTCAAATGGAAGTTTAAAAGCATACAAAATGTTAATGTTGCACAGTAGGGCCCCTTTAAGACCAGCTTATTATTCTGGGTTGAAAATCTCAAACAGCTACATCCCACTGCTTCACTCACACCCGGCACACCTTCTGTCCCCAGGTGTTCTCGTCCACACTCGCGCCCCTATCGGCTTCTCGCTCCACCTGCTAACAGCTATTTTAATGGATGGGGGATGAGTGACACGCTCTAATGTCTGACAGGGTTACTCTGTGCCAGATGCATCTCAGCGCAGGCGGCGCTGAAGAAGCGAGCCTTTGAGCGCGGGCCTTGGACCGGGCCCTGCTCCCATTGTGCAAAGGAATGTATGTGCTTACATTACTGACAAAACTGTTGCTGTGATGAAAAGGGAAATATGAGTGTCTGTGTAATGGAGTGGGTGCAGGCAGCGGTGTTCGCTTTGATGTGAAAGTGTTCAACATGTGTTACACTCCGACGTGAAAAGTGCAGAACTCACCTGTTAGTAATAAGGCCCGGGTCCCAGTCCAGAAAGGGCATTTCGCTGCATTCCTCAGATTCTGCTCCACCAGGGTGGCTGGATGCATGTGTGCACAGTCTCACACACACACACAGAAACATTTTCCTGTCACTCTCCAAAGCCATGCAACAGCTCATTAGTGAGGAGACACACTCCAGATTGTCCTGCAGAGTTGGTGGATGCACAGGACAAATGAGGCGATGTGTAGATAAATCCTTCTTCAGCTGACAGAGATGAAAAGCGGTTTGGGTGATTACAAACTCTTCTCTGCAATAATCACTATGTAAAACAGGATAATGCGTGCTGAATCATGTTTGGTCTAATTTTTAAAAAGTGGAGGAAAACTTGATGTGGGTCTCTGTCCGTCCGCACCAAAGCAGCAGCAACGACCAAAGAAATAAAAACATAACAAACTGGAATATTACAAGATAAACAAACACAAACTTGTAAATGAAAATGAAACATTTGTTTCCCAATAAAAAGCCTGAAAAGGGCAGCATTCATTTGAATTATGTCCCTTTATTTTAATACTCCTCAATAAAATCGGAAGCAACCAGAAGCCTGCAGAAATGGGATTCGTAAAGGATCCATTTGCTATTTAATCCCACATAAATAGCAGTTCTGTGAGCGAACAAACTGGGCCATGAAGCCCAAACACAGCAGACAGGTCAGGGAGAAAACTTTGGAGACGTTTAAAGCAGAATGATGAGATAAAATAATATTCCAATTGTTGAAAATCTTACAGAGCTTTCTCTGTCCAACTCATCACCTGAACTGTGATCCCTCCAAAGACAAGCAACGCAAGGAGAGTATAAAACTGGTAGCTGTCATGCAGCTGCATTTGGAAATGAAAAAGATACCAAGGGAAATTTCAGCTAAATATTAGAAAATTTAACATTAATTTGGAAAATCAATAATATGGAACTAAATATTTAGTTAGCAAAATAAATATTTAATATTTTTTATCTGGGAACTAAATATTCAGATGCTAACTAAGTATTTAATTTGAAAGCAAAATATTTGACTTGTTAAATATTTTGTTTGGAGCTCTGAAATTGATAAATGTGTTAACATGACTATGAAAAATGAACAGCCACATTTTTTTCTTCAGGACAGGCTGAATAAACCAGATTATTGCTGTTGATTTTTTACTCCATAAAACCAACCCATACATAACGTCTTGAAAATAAAAAAAAGCAACAACGTGGAGTGAAATGAGCAGGATTCATTGCATCACCAGTTTGGTCGTATTTCAGATATCTAAAATGAATGAATGATTATGAATACTGACTAATATAAAAACCTTATTTTGTGATGTTTTTCAGCCATGCTTGCTTTTTTTCTGCAGGGAAAATGGAAGCTGGTGATGGTTGAGTAGATGATGGATGTAGCTGAAAACAGGACAACCGTGAGGAAAAAAAGGCAAAAGACTTAAAACTGGAAAGGAAAAACTCCACACACACAACAAAGCAATAATTAAAACAAGGTTAGTTATGATGTTTTAAAGTTGTGTGACGCTATCAGTCTGTAACAGAAAGATGTTAAATCAGACATACTCTGAGGTGAAACAAACAGAAAATGTTTAATATGTTATGCGGCAAAACAAACACAAAAAAACCCACTACATTAGTGGCGACCAATAGTTTCACAGCAGGTCATTGTTGAGGATCATTTGGAGTGAGCTTCTTCAGCTGCTTCAGCTGATGGAGAGTCCGCTGTAATCATTTTAAAACCACCAAACGAGCTTAAAAGCACAGACACGTGGACCAAGAGTGATATTCTGGTGGTCCAAAAATCTAAACGTTTCCTCCAGAGAGGAGGCAGAGAGGTGCAGCTGATCTGGAGGACGGATACGAGTCCCAGTCTGCAAATACAAACACTGACATTCTTCCACTGAATCAAACCACACCAGTTTTTTTTTTAAAAAACAATGCTCTGTTGAGAAATGTAATAATTCCTAACAAATGCTGCATTACAGTGACCTGGGAAGTGGGAACTCGGAATTTCAACATGGCGTCGCCCACATTGTTTGCTAAATCTCTTACAAGCAATTTTATGCTTTACCTTCCAAGGTAAACACCATTTTTAATTTGTTCAGTTTATTTACAGGCGCCACATGTAACGCTGATCTTAGATACTTTTTAGTGTTTCTTGTGAAATAAATGCGTTTCTACCGCAGTGCACACTGTAGGGTCAAAGAGCGGCCATCTTGAAAGGCCAAGTCGGTACTGGAGGCAGTTGGAGCTGATCCCAGTTTCAGGCAGGTTGGAGTTATTTTGCCAACATGAAGGGACTAACACAGTGTAATAAGGCCATTGTAGATGAAAAAAAGAGTACATTTTCACCAAAAATACTTTTAAAATTTTGAAATTAATCTCTTAACAAGGAACTTTCTAAGCTCCAAAAGTTGAAAAATTTGCGAAAAAGAAACCCTCAAATTTTAAGATCTCATTTTCTAGATTAAAAAAAACTTAAAAATGTAGTTTCAACAAGTCAAACATTTTCAAAACTTGGGGAAAAGTAAAAAATGTCCAAATATTTTCCTGAAAATTTATGTTTTTTGACAGAAATGAACTCATTTGTATGTACAATGGCTATAATATGCTCTGGTAAGGAGACATAGCTGACGAGGAATTAACGTTTCCAACAAGTGATACAACTTCTTTGAACCAAAAGGCATGGGAACTATTACTAAAAACGTAACAAAACCTATTCAAAAACACCTGAACCAAATCTTTAATGTGTTGGAATGGCCCAAATCCGTTTCTTTCCTTCTTACCTGTCAACATCAGCTTTGTTCCCCTGCCAAATGCACGTCTTTATTCAATCATTCAGTGCAACTATTCATCCTCCCACTCTCTGTTCGGGCTGCAGATGCTGAACCTGGCTCTCATTCCAAAACAGCAGGAGTCCGAGTCTCCCAGCTCATTAACACAGAGCATTACCTTCCACCCCCAGAACACATTTCATTCTTCTCACACTTTCACACAGCAATGGAAAAATCTGACAGAGAGAGACTAAGACAAAGCTTTATGCAATCATTTTATTAAATATACATTTACTGTATTACAGATACACAACGTGGGCATCGTTGGAAGTTGGTGCCAAACGGATAATTAAATTAAAACAGATGAGATTTCCATGTTCTTCTTCAGTCGTTCATCACTGGTCCTGAAAAGTGAGAGGAGTTATGAAACCGATGTTTTGGTGTAAGAAGCAACACATTCTCCACTGCGTACGCACCTCAACCACGCGGCCATGAATCAGATACGGTGACCTGAAGTCATGCTGGCAGTTGCTGTATCCCATTCCCAACCCCAGGCCCGATCCGAACGACACCGGCCACATTCGACCTGGTGGGAGGAGGAACGGACAAATGAAATCACATCTGCTTGTTTTCACAGAGATACAAAGAAATAAAGCTTACGTTTGAAGAAGAGGACGGAAAACACGATGCCGACACCGACGCCTGTCACTGCAAAGAGAAAAAGAGAAATACAAGGAAACTGATAAAAAGACAGAACATGAAATCAGATTACTATAACGTCAGGCGGTCGGGTGCAAACATGAAAAATAATTGGATCATTAAAACGTCTCCGCATAGTGAACAATGTGAATACATTTTATTTAGCACAAATATCTGCAGAATAAACCCGTTGAATGTTTCACATTTTGTCTCATTCCATCTGTATGTTGCATAAATAGTAGAGTGAAAGGACAGCCGTTCCTTTTTTAATGAATAAATATAGAAAGTGTAGAGAACAGTTGTATTCATCAGGCCGGCCACGATGAGTAGCAACAAAATAAAACAAGCTCAAAGATGTTCATTTATTGTTTTTCTCTTTTTTCTTCCTACTAAAAACTGGATGATGAAAGTCTTCCGGTGCTTTGGTCTCACAAACTCACAAAGCCCTGTTTTGTTTTCAGAGGCTTCATAATTCATTTTATTTGTATTTTTAAAATGTCTTCCAGTTTCAGTTAAATGTTGTTTTTAGAATTTTAATTTGATCTATCTTTACAAGCGTGTCAATGCATTATTATGACTTTACGATTATATTACTTGAAAATGATCTCAAAGCAAATTAAACTTTCAGCTGCAGGTTTAAGGGGACGATGGTTTTCAGCCAAATGTTGTAAAAGGCAGGACTGGGACAAATGTCCATCTGCCAGCAAAACACAGACACTAAACATTCAGCTAATGCTACAATAAAATCACAGCATCAACCTAATAAAGCAGGAGAAAAGTATCCCACCACATGATGCTGCCAACACCACAGTTCATTGACTCCAGGGAGACAGAAATAGAAGCTCATGTTTGTCATTTTAAGTCTAAAAATTGGGATAATTTTACTTTTTCATGCACAAGTAAAAAAAGAAGAAATAAATAAATAAAAATACACTGCACTAAAACAAAAAACACAGTGTCTCCAATATTTCAGGGAAAAAAAATGATGTGCCTTTTTATTCGCTGCATAAATACTTTTATGTATTAGTTCAAAATACATAAAAGCTTGTGATTGTAAAATGAAAAAAAAAATATTCAATGGGGTTATAAAATATGGTCTATTTGTTGCTAAATTGACAAGACTGGAAACCCGAGACAGATAAACCAGGGGATGGAGACGAGTGGGACTGAAAGCATCCACGGCAGGTCCGTCTGTGGAAACCAGGGACGGTTATTAGTAAGAATGTGTCTGTGCGCCGAGTTTCACCTCGCTGTGGGCCACACCACGCCCAACAGCAGGCCGGCCAAAACACAAAACACATAAAAAAAGCCATTCGGGCCCAAGAGGCTCCTAATTAGATACAGAGAACTATGCAGCATGACCGATGTGCTTTAACCAGAGCCCTCAGACTGTTTCTTATTACACAGTTTACACATGTCAAACACGACCACAAAACCCTCAGCTCATCTTTATTATCAGTACACATCAACAATAACTTTCCTTCCATTTCAAGCGACGACTCTGTTAAGATCTGAGACTTTCCGTCTGCTGAAGCCCGAGTCTTGCTTTGCTCTGCAGCCAGAATGTTTCTGAAGCCTCTGATTTTCCACTGTCAGGGGTACAATGGAAGCTTTTGGGGGAAAATGAGAGGGTAGATCAATATCTCATTCCCTTTTCTTTTGTCTGGATTTCTCCTCGGGGACTGGATCATAACAAAAACATTTGTACATGAAACGAGTGAAAAAAAAACTCAGTGGGCTTTTCCAGCAAATGAAGTCCAGAGCTGCGTAATTGCACTGTTATTCGCTGTTTGAATTATTTTGTGCAAATGACTTCAAAAAGCCAGTCATATTCAATCAGTGTGATTGAATACTGCACCTCGAACCCTAACCCCGACTGTTTGACTCTGGCAAATGTTTCTTCTCCACACTGTTGTTTTTAACCAATACCATGACTTCAAATTCCTCTTTTGTTTCTGTCACAAGTTATATTTGGAGACCACACTTGCAGCACGGCAAAAAAAATAAATAAAAACATTTATGTTTACCAACCGTTACAGTTCAAATAAAAAGTGGATGTCTCCATGGAAGAACTAAAACGAGCGCCACAGATGACAAAGCGAATCAATTCGTCCACCGATATTTCAAAGCTAAACACTGACATGATCCATTTTGTACAGACTCATGTCTCCACTTCAAGTTAGGACTACTTGCATAACTCAGAGTAAAAAAATACTCAAAAAATGGTTTAAACAAATAAAAGCAGTCTTACAAGGATTTTAACAATACATGTGATTTTTTATGACTATTAATAAATATCTTGGTGGATTTAGGATCAAAGTATAAATTTAATTTTACCAAACTGTTTTCATTAGTGTTTCGAAATTATGTACAGTTAAAGGGAATGAAAAATTAGGGTGATGGCACGGAGGCTCTTCAACCTCAAACATGAATTCATAAATAAATCATCAAAATATCAGAGGAAACAATGAAAAGCTGGTCAGAAATTACAACTTCTATCGGAAACAAACTTCTTGTTAAACAAAATAATTTAATATTTAAAGTCACAGGGGTTTGTAAAATTTTGAGTTTAACTGTACACTTCTTTTCGTCTTTTGGGCATAATATTAGAAGACATTTTTTATTTCTTCTTTAGTTGTACTAATTGTGGTTCGTACTAATTGTGGTTTGTACTTATTGACTTGTTTGACTGTCCACAGGAAGCAACACGCACATGTTTACATTTACTTATCACATGAAGGTTTACTTAGAACCTCTTTATAAGCCAAGCTGTGTAAATTTTTAGCACAAAACATGAATGTTCCACTTTAGATGCGTGATAATGACATCTTTGACGTAATGAAACTTATGTCAAACATGTAAGTTTTATTATATTTGTAAGTGAAAACAACCCAGCTGCTTTGTGGCATTTTTTTGAGCTCCGTGCTCAAAGCTGTCAGCCGTGCCAAGGTGTCTGGTTGCCAGAGAAAATCTTCAGCATATGTTCGGCTCGAGGAGGCGCACAACAAAGCTCTGTAACTTTCCATAACCCAGCCGTCATGCAGCCCTGGCGACCTTTTCTTTTGCAATATGTAATTGTGTTCACAGCTCATATCTTTTCATTGCTCTGAACGATTTAGAAGCATTCTTCTGAGCATGAAATCAGATCCATCATCAGAGTTAAACGATGACTTATTCAGTACAGGATCTGCAGCGTGATTCGCAGTCCAAGAAAAGGAGCTGGACCTGCTTTACACGAATCTAGAGGTCAGAAATAAACCTGGAATCGGGAATGGGAAACCAGTTTTACAGGCTGCTAGCCCATTAGCTCGTTCTGGTTGTAGCAATTAGCAACATCCCCCTTTTAACAGGAAACAACTGGGTTTATTTGAGCTGTGATGTTAAATCTGATGGCTGCCAAACTTGCCTCTGAGACAATCTCACGCAAGTCTTACAAGAAAAGCATGGCAGTGATTCAATGGGCTTTAGGTTCACTAGTTTAGTTTCTCAAGCTTGATTCTGTGTTTTTGCACATTTAACGCAGGAAGTCTGCAGATGTGCAACCTGTGAAGTTTAGCAGAGATTTTAGCTGCCTCTTGTTTGCGTCTTAATTTGGTACACTAGCAATGCTTCTTTTGTTAGGGGTGCAGCGATTGAAGCTTTTTGGTTGATCACTGACATTTAAAAAGCCTGACTTTCTGATTCAGACTTTTTTGTTTGAAAAGTCACCAATATTGTGATAATTTCACCAACTTAACACCACTATTGTTAATTGTGAATGTGCAGATGTGGAACTGTAATTTTTGTCCGTTAATGAAGGAGCCCTTCATGACAGTCATAGTTAGTACTTTTTGAAGGATTATTTTTCTCTCATGACCTTCTGCAAATCGGACTCCAAATCCCACATCTGCAGCACCAATAGCTGGTAAACCGTGTTGTGATGATGTGCTGTTTACCAAAATTCCTTCATAAATTTCTCAATCATCATCTGTGGTGTCACCTGTCCAAAGGACATTATTGGACACGTCTTGTGATTTTTTTAAATGCAAATTTACAAACCTAAATTATTTTACACAATTCCAATTATTTCTGGCACACTTTGTTGAATGACAATGTAATATTTCACGTTATTATTGTGATTCGGTGATTCACTCATTTTAAAATCCAATATGAATCAACTCAAAATCAACATGTTTTGAGGTGTGAAATATTGATGGAGAGTTTATCTTATTTTTACCATGACTGTGTAGGCAACAAGAGATTTATGTGAAGAGATAAAAATAATTTCAATCAACAAAAGTGTTTCTCAAGATGTTGGATGCACCACAGTTAGAATAAGGATCCATTGAATTTGGATATAGAAGATGCTCTCTCCATAGTAGACAAAAGTCAGAATAATGCATCTATATCATAAGTATTGTAATAACAATGCACCTACGGACATTTTCTCTATTAATGTTAATTTAAAGTGCATCTCTTCCGATTTTAAGTAATAAATAACAGTTATTAGTGGAAAATCTGGAAACGGTGTAATTCGTCGACCGATTGCGAATCCATTGGATGTTAATTAAACGGCTACATTCCTTCCACATAACCGTAATTTGACATATTTCCCACTTCATCGACCACGGATTTTCTTTCATAAAACAGCTATTCTCATTCATTCGCTCAACTTTGACCTTAGCAACAGTTCCAGCAGGGTTACAATAATACCCAGCTTAAAAAGATTTCCTTTGAGCCTACTGCGGCTTTCTAAATGACAAAACGCACAACGAAACTGTTTAGACCAGTAGGCACACATTAAACCTCGTGAAAGAAGAGATGTTTACCTGTTTTTAAGGCTGTGTCAGCAAGACAACGGTCCCATTTTCGCCCGAGCTCGTCTGCCATATTTCCGGATGTGTCCGAGATCCACGAGAGTATCGCGAGATCGACATGAAGTCACGCGAATCCTCTCAGTTCGTATTTGACTTGTTGATCTTCACGAAAAGATACAGTCCGTACGAAAAAGTACCGGTAACATCGGTAAGCATGTAGAGAAGGTGGAATGAAAGTCTTATAATAATAATAATAATAATAATAATAATAATAATAATAATAATAATAATAATAATAATAATGAAATATTTTGAATATATTAGTTGCGCAATTAAAATTCATTTGCTAAAATCCTAAATTAAAACGACATGTTCCAATACAAGCAAATATTTCAATAAATTTGATTACATGTAATTTATTCTCAGACGTGATTATGATCTAAAGAAACTCATAAGATTGATTTTATTTCACCAACAGGAGTGGAAGATGATTGCAGTCCCCATAACTCTCTTCCAAAACTGTAGAACTGTGATGTAAAAATATAAAATAAAATTCCAGTTTATTCAAATTGACTCAAAAAGGATATATGGTCTGTTTTGCAATTTTTTAGATCGTTCTCGGAAAAGAAAACGAGAAAGATAAGAAAAGAGAAGAAAGAAGAATATGTTGAACCAAAAGAAGAGAGGCAAGAAGAAAAGAAGAGGAAAAAGAAAAAGAAACAAAAGATGCAAAAAAAGGAAAGAAAAGATAAGCAATGTTTGTAGTTAAACTGATGTATTCTGTGCTTTCTGCTTGATTGCTTCAACAAAACACACATGGGAGTTAGATAATTGCTTCTAACACACCGTCAACAAAACACAAATCTTGGTTTGGTTTACAAGCAGGTTTTTAGGGGAATGCATATTTCAGCAGTGTCGTTATTCTGTGATTTTGATAGAAAACACCTGGGATACATTTTAATGGCTGGGTTTGCTTTTCACCAAATTCTTTGATGTGTGACTTTTTTAAAGAAGCAACCAACTTTTGCACCTGCTTGGAGGATATTTATGCCACTTTCCCAAGTATTGATTTCTTGAAACAGGTCAGAAACATTATACAGGTCTATATCCCCTTTTTCTATGCGAGGTGTTTGTTTTCTTTAAACTAAGCTAAAATTAATTTTGATCATTTTGAAGTCAGCTTTTAACAATTCTGTGATTATCTTTTGGAGGAGGTAACCCATTGATTTCAACTTTGGAGCTCCATGTAGACCTCACTTCGATATCCATCAATGTGAAGTATATTCCTGCTTAGGACCAGTATATTTTATCTAGATTAGACCAAGCCAAATTGCCTTTGCTAAGAGCGGACTAAACATTTTGGGTTTGTCATTCGTCTGCTACCACTCCCAAAAGGTCAGAAAGGACAGACATTTTTCCTCTTGTAAAACATAGAGGAAAATGTCAGCTGGTCTGCATAAATTGTAATTTGCAACCAGAACAACTACACTTTTATACAGATACTGCCTATAATTGAGGCGTTTGTGCTAGTGATCATGCAGCACCAAGAATAACTTCTCTGAAGTACATATAAATGACTTTGTGCTCAATGATTAGGCTTTGAAAACTAGACATTACAATGGCATAGCTAGTGAAGAAAAAAAACGTTAATGCAGTGGGATTGTGTTGTTTTCATTAGCAGTAGCCATATTGGATTTTAGGGTTGCGGTGGGGAAGAAGCCACAACCTCTGCTTTCTCAGTAAACAGAAGACACCCCTGCTCTAGATTATCTATCACGACTTTCATCAGTTCTGTTTGTTTGTTTGTTTCGTTTCCTTACAACAAGTGCAGACCCGTGGCATTGCCATGTCAGACTGGTCCAGCAGCTATGCTTATGGCACTATTAGTACTTTCAGAACACGGACTTTTTAAAAAGTTTCCCGAATCCGTCAGGCGGAACATTTACATTGAAAAGCATCCTGTCGCCCTTTTTGTTCCCAGTGTAAACATACTCCAGGAACTGTTCTGTCATAATTTTGTATAACCGTCTTTCTGCCGCCCTCTGCGTCCGCATATTTGTCGCTCAGCGGCTCTCTTTCCATACTTGGCAATGCCTTTCTTGCTCCTTCGCTATTGGTTGCAAGAGAGCAGAGCTCCGAGTGACCCGGAGGTAGAAGCGAGGCCTGCTGTTTTCTCACCGCAGCCTCCTTCCTGTAGCCCGGTTGAGGAAGTGAATTTCGCTGACAGGGCTGGGTTCAGTGAGGGAGAGGCGAATAAAACATCTTCCACTGGGGGGACGAAAACAAATACAGCGAAAAGAATAAAAGTCGAGAGGCGCCAGGGGTAAAATCACAGCGAAGCTAAGGTGTACAGCCGTTGGTGAAACCGTTCCCCGCAGAGACCGTCGCAGACATGGTAAGGGCCGTGCTAACGCTGCTGGGAAACGGGGACGGGGTGAGAGGCTTCTGGTTGGAGTGCCGAAGCTCTCCGGGTCGCTGGATGAGCTGGCTGGTAACCCGAGAGGACCGGAGAGCATAACTCAACGAGGCATCTTAACTGTGACCGATAAGGAGCAGTTAGCTTCGTTGCTAATCTAGCTTCTGCTTCTTCCTGCTAGTTAGCCACCTGCTAACAGCCAAGCTACATGCCCCGTAGGCACACAGTTAGCACAGGATGTTTTGGATTTGACACAAGTTTGTTAACGACAGATTCCTAATATAGCTCTCATACAATCCCTCCAGCCTTTAACGCAGACTTAAATAGCCGAGCGTCGGTTTGCCTGCTGCTAAAATAAAACTGCTGGCTCTTCTTTTTCTTAACTATGACTGGCTGGCAGCTCTCTCTGCAAGGTTTCCCTGGCTTAAGAGTTTCACCGTAACTTTGTGTTTCTCTGTAGTAATATCACTCATTTCAAAACATGTCATGTTAGTTAGTCGACTCTCTTTGTGTCTTAATAATGCATTTCTGTTCTGTTTGAGGTGTTAACATTGATGTTCCTCCGGTTTTACAAACGATAAGATCCAGGGTTAACCAGGAAAGCGAAAATTGACAGCTCGGGTCAGAGCAAGGCGCAATAGTATGAGTCTGATTGTATACAAATATTAGATCAGAATTTGAACCATGCTTTTCAGAAAAGTAGGCTTGTAAATATGATTTGATTTTGTGCTGACATGAAGGATAATTCAAACAGACTCTTGATGACTCTTGTTTTTGTACTACAGCTACAATAACAAATCTAACTGCTGCCTGTTGCAAATAAACAGTAGTAGTAATATTAGGTGACATTATTTAAGTTAACAGTCTTAAGTCGATTAAAAGTCAACCCTGAAATTTCTCATTTAATATTGTGTGTTATATTACAAAAAGAAATCAGTGGTCTCTTGGATTTATTGAGAATCTGATCAAAGATGAATCAAAATTCAGTTATAATAATAAGAATAATCAAGAATTAGATGTATCAATGTACCTGATGACATCTAAGCAAATGGAACATCAAGTAACGACTAACAAACTAATTACAGACTAATTTTAATGGAAAATTTACAGTGTTTCCTTTTGTAAAGATGTTAAAACTGAGTCAGTCACTCTACTACAGATTAGAGTTAGTCAGTTTTCCCTGGACTGTTTCACATGAAGGCAATTAAAAGCTTAAGTCATATATATATATTAAATCGACTCACAATTCTCGATCTATACGGACAACTCTGTCAGTGACTTTTGCTTTTAGATGTTTTTTTCTTTAATACAAATCAAAGAATGTCAAGACCTTAACACGTCTATTAATAGCCTGCAGTACATGATTTTTCTTTATGTATAAAAAGCTTTAGGGGCAATTAACAAATAATTTATTACCCATGAATGTGTATCTGTTAATTTATTTCATTTTATGACCATAGAAAATAGTCTTAAATTCTACATTGAATTTAATAGTATATTTTTTCAAATTTATTTGATGCTACATTTGTATCTATTGTCTATTGATTTGTTTCAACTGTACAGAAAGAGAAAGTTGGACCATCTTGTATTTCCCGATTTAAAAGGCTAGTTCTGTAATTTTTACCCAGCAGTACTCTGTTTTTCTGTCGGGTCTTTCTAAAGAAGACGGTAACTAAAAACTCTCTCTTTGTCAGAATTCCAGACAACGTTTTTATTTCCAGGTCGACACATAAGACTATAAATAGACCACAGTACTGTACTGTGGTGTGTTTCATATCAGCTTTATGTAAAATAAAAAGTTTTCCATATGTGAGTTAACATACTGGTGTTTTTTTATTTTTTTTTATTTAGCATCATTTAATTCTGTTTACTGACTGGGTTTTAGGAAGGAAATGTTGGGAGTTGTAAACATCTAATCTGCTGAATCCAGCTTTTTAAAAAATGTTTGTCCTTCATGTTAAACCCACTTGGTTTACTTAGAAGTAGCACATCTTTTGATCGTCCACGCAAACTAAACACTGCTGTGTGTAAGACGAGAACAGCAGCTGGAGTTTCTCCGCTGTCACCCTTTCTCCTTGGTCTCACCTCATCCATCCTGCTCCGCCCTGACCTCAGGGGTTTGTCTGCTGGTCTGATCGGTGTTTACACCAGAAAAGCACTGCTGAGGAATGCAGCTGCTGTCTGAAACAGGCTGTCTCATCAGGTGAAAGAGATTTTGGAGAAGATGGGCAGCAGGTGACCTTAAGGAAGAGGCATTGCGTGGGAACCTGTTGAACTCAGGGTTAGGCTTAAGGAGAGTGTTTACATACTCCATCATGGATTGCTTTCTTGGATTAGATTATAGTGCTGGATTATGTTAGCTTTTAGCACTTTAGGTAGACTAAGAGCTGCTTTGTTTACAAATACAGAAGGTGAAATCAACATGCGTAGTGGTGATTGTTGATGAATGCAAAGTTTCATAAATGGATCCTGTTCCTCACATGTGACTATTTCTGTTGCTTCAACTTAAAATTGATCAATTTCACCTCCAGATCAGAGGGACAATTTTGCTCAAGTCGAATTTTATTCCAGTATTAACTTTGACACCAGAGGAAAATATTTGTCGCACAGAGCGTAAACCCGTAAGTCGTCTTAAAAACCCAAGTTTTGTGTGTCTCTTCTGTTCCAGTTTGGAGAGCATCCTCCCACACATTCCCCAGTTT